ACTTGATATGACAGTGAAGATTTTTCTGGGCTGATGGAAATACAGACAGAATGCTTGAGCTCAGGGAAGAAGATACCATCTACAGTATTCCCATCTCTTCTCAACTTCATTTATAAATTAAAGAGATTCTGTAAGGGAATATGATGGAGAAGTGATCCCACACACAAACAGAAGCATGTGTGTGGGGAAAGAGATTTATGATTAGACAGGAAAAAGCAGGGCAAGGACAAGACATAGAAGTGTAGGAGGAAGGAAGAGATACAGCACCACAGCAATTTTTCAGAAGGTGAGGACAGTGTGAGGTGCTTGCTCCCTCTTTCTCCAAGGGAATGAACACCCTGACTTCCTTAGGAATTTTGGAATGCACAAACTCTGGGTATTAAACCAAACTGCAGCTGATGTAAGTGAGCAGCAGTGGTACCCAAGCCCAGATGCTTGGACGTGGTGGTGACTGCAGGCTGCAAACTAATGGAGGATGTCTCTGTCCCTGCAGCCACTATCACCTCTCCCACCTAGAGTCAGGGAAGGCTTGCTCCTGTGGTTGTCTCTCCACTCTCCAGCCATTGCTTCTTTTGTTTTTGTATGTTGGAAGATTACTCATCAAGCCACCTGTTTTTTGAAAATAAAGATCCTTTGGATTGCCATAAGTTATTAGGAGAAAGCTTATGCCTTTTTATTCCTTTGCCCTTCAACAGAACTTTTGTTCCTTTATTTGCGTTGACAACATCCAAAATATTTGGAGCACAAGACTATGTTCTTTCATGTTTTGGTTTGATAGACCAAACAAGCCAATCTTTTTTTTTTTTCTTTTCTTTTTATAATTCTCAAATAGCTGCTCTCAAGTTCCCTAAATATCTTTAGTAACTGTCTGGTTTTGGTACAGCTGTAGTACCTTTTCTTGAAAGTGCTGACTAGAACCTGGAGGAGATTGCATACCAAATCTTTCAAATGGGATTTCCATGTTACAAGCATGTCTGCCTTTTCCACAAGAATGATAGCTCATAACCAATATGTGACTTACCAATGCAGATATGGTTTTGTATGGAGAATACAGAGGTACTAAGAAAGGTTAGTCAAAATGCAGACCCACTGTGGGGCTTCTTGCTTTTCCAGCAAGGGGAAGGGGAAGGGGAAGGGGAAGGGGAAGGGGAAGGGGAAGGGGAAGGGGAAGGGGAAGGGGAAGGGGAAGGGGAAGGGGAAGGGGAAGGGGAAGGGGAGAGGAGATCGGGAGGGGAGGGAAGGGGAAGTGGAGAGGGGAGGGGAGGTGGGGAGGGGAGGTGGGATGGGGAAGGGAAGGGAAGAGAAGGGAAGGGAAGGAAAGGGAAGGGGAGGGGAGGGGAGGGGAAGGGAGGGGAGGAGAGGGGAGGGGAAGGAGAGAGGAGAGGAGGGGAAGGGGAGAGGAGAGGAGGGGAAGGGAAGGGAAGGGAAGGGAAGGGAAGGGAAGGGAAGGGAAGGGAAGGGAAGGGAAGGGAAGGGAAGGGAAGGGAAGGGAAGGGAAGGGAAGGGAAGGGAAGGGAAGGGAAGGGAAGGGAAGGGAAGGGAAGGGAAGGGAAGGGAAGGGAAGGGAAGGGAAGGGAAGGGAAGGGAAGGGAAGGGAAGGGAGGGTTAAAAAAAGAAAGATTAAGTAGGAGATTGCCTTGGAGAGATAATTTCCTTGTCTCTGTATCTCTGTTACCCTACTCAGGATCTTATCTGTCCCTATATTTTTACGTTATTACTTCCAGAGGAGTATGAAATATATCGGACATTTCACCAGTCAATGAAGACTTGATTCTTGATATCCGCCCCACAGCTGTTCTGGAGATAGCAATTTTTCTTTGCCCCTGGATCTTCTCACACCTCTGCTTCTTGAGTGCACTAAGAATTCTTCCCCCAGGGCTCTGTGTCAGTTTGGTTTCTTTTATATTTTTTCTTTTATCTTCAGCCTTAGTGAATTCTGTTTTTGCACCCATGCAGTTGGGAAAACATAATACTTCATGCAAGCCAAATATGCGAACAAGTTGAAAGGCAGAGACAGATGGAGCCATCTCTGTGATATCTAAACAAAACACTTTGGACATAATGAAATACTAAAGCATTTTCATTAGTGTGTGAGCTTTAGCTGAAAGAACAAAACTGACGCAACACTTAGTCGTATATGGATTTAGAGCCTTCATTCCTTTGCTCTTGACCCGCTGTTACTGCATGTAAAATGTCATGAAAGCCCTTTAGAAGCTAATCAATCTAGACTCCTTGCTACTTGACATCAGGGAATATATTTATAAGCTGCATGCTGCTTACATTTGTCTAGACTGAATTATTTTGATCACAGTCTATTTCACTCTCATCACCGCTGTAAGGTGGCAGAAAGAGCTGGTGTGGATCTTGTCTTTTTCCAGGTAACAACTGAGGCTGCCAACAGCTATTTAATGCCAGAAGTTAGTAGATCTAGCTTGATCTTCAGTGGAACATACATTGAACTCCATGTACCTCAGAGTGAGCACACAAAACCAAAACAGAAAATGATAATAGCCATCCAGAAAGACAAAGCAGATAATCACAGCAACTCTGTGACACAGGACAGTGACACTGAGTCTCTGCAGCTGCCCCAGTGCTGAGGCCTCACTGCGCTATGAGTTACTGTAAGAAATGTAAAACTAAGGAAGCTGCTGTTTTCTCCTTGTGATGCTATATACCTCACAGGGAAAAAGCTGTGGGTACAAATGATTCATGCAAAGTTTATTGTGCTTAGTTTTTGTTTGTTTGTTTGTTTTGTTTTTTTTGTTTTTTGGAGGTTTCCCTTGCTATTTAACTTGTTTGCTTCATTTCCATTCATGCCATGGCTATAATTTTTATAGGTCAGATGCTGAGGCTAGGATCAGTAACACACACAAATGTACGAACTACAGCCACTTGTGGAAGTGCCTGCCTTCACCCAGGGAGGTAGGATAGGTCCTCTCTTCCATTCCAGCCTCTTTCTGGGAGACCTCAGTCTCTGTGATAAGAACCCTCTGTTGAGGAGCAGGTGCGAACACACCTTGCTTTGCTGTGTTTCACAGTACCATGCCCAATCCGTTGGTAAAACCTGGATCTTCTGCCATTTCTGCAGAGGGGCTGATGTCTGCACCTCACTGGTATCTTCCAGTATATTCATTGTAGTTTAATAGGCTTGGGGTGGCTACAACTTTTCTTGGACAGGGAAAACTGCCTGCGGAAGAGCAGAGGCCAGGACGCGTCCCACCCCGCAGCACTGCTGCCCTGCCTACCAGCAGCTACACTTGATACAGACAGGCGGGTGCCCATCGGCGGGACGCGGAGTATCGGGGCTGCTCTGCTGAGTGAGGTGCAGCGGGGCACGTTACCCGCTGCACGGCACCGCAGAGAGACGCGGACAAAAGGAGCGCTGTGGGCGCGCTCGCGGTGCCGGCTCCATTCCGCCTGCACAGCCGTGCCGGCAGCCGTCTTTTGGTGATATCGGAATGCCCGTGCGGTTCCCTCGCGGGTCGGGGTCGGGGGTCAGGCCGTTCGAGGAACGCCCTCAGTAATCGGCCCCGCGAGCGGGATGCCATAGCCGCCGCCCCGGACCCGGGCCGCCTCCGCCGCCCCGTGGGCGGGCGCGGCGTTGCCGCGGAGACGGCGCCGCGGGGGCGGGCGGGTGCCGCCGGCGCCCCGGGGAGGTGCACGGAGGCGGCCGCACCGCGCCGAGCCCAACACCCTCGCCCGCCGCCCCCCCCCGTCGCCATTCCCTATTATAGAAGCGCTTCCGGCGGCGCGGGCCGCTCTGACATCATCCCCCGCACCCGGTGACGTCAGCGCCGGGAGCAGTGCGTGACGTCGGTGCGTAGGGGAGCGCGGTGACGTGCGCTACTTAAAGCTCGCCGGGCGGAGGATGGAGGCAGAGCGAGCGGGTGCTGCCGCGAGCAGCGGCTACCGGGCTGCGGGCGCTGTAGGGCCCCGGCCGGATCCGTTCCCGCTCCTACCCTTGTTCCCGTTCCGGCTCCTGTCCCAGCCCGGGGGCGGCGGCGGGACGGCTGCGGGCTGCGCCTGCGCCTGCGCCTGCCCACCGCGAGAGCGGGCGGCGGCAGAGGTGTGAGGTGGAGGCGGGCGGCCGCAGGCAGCGGCTGTCAGCAGCCGGCAGCAGCCGGGCAGCAGCCGGGCACCGCCTGACGCGGCGCTCACTCCCCCCGCCCGCTCCCTCCCTCGCTCCCTCCTTCCTTCCCTCCCTCCTTCCTTCCCCCTATCCTCCCGCCCCACCGCCGGGTCTGAGCCCGCGGCCCCGCCGCAGAGCAAGCGCGACCCGGCGGCGGCCGCCCCTCCCGACCCCCGCCCGTTGGCAGCGCCCGGCCTGCCGCGCTCCAGAGCGATGCCCGCTCGCTCGCCGCAGAAGAAGGCGTGACGGCCAGGCGCGAACCCGCCGCGGGAAGGAGGAGCGGCGCCCCGCGTCTCCGCAGCCGGGGGCAGGCGGGCGGATCGCGGCGCCCCGGTGCTCGCCACCAGCCGCCGGGAGCCCGATGCCTGTGCTGCGGCTCGCTCTGCCGCTTCGGGGAGATGCACGGCTGCCCGCCGCGCTGCTAGTGGGAGCGGCGGCGCGGAGCCCTGCGCGCACCGCCCGCCCCGTCCCGCTCCGCCTCTGAGGCGCGCCGAGCGCTCGGTGACCGCGCACCGCCCGGCGAGAAGCGCCGCAGCTGCCGCCAGCCCCGCGCGGAAAAAGGCGAGCGCCTTCCGCCCACCCTCCCGCCCGCGGTTGGGGACACGTCCGCACGCCGAGTCGCCGCCGCACGCCCGGTCGGGAGCCGGAGCTGCTGCCTGCGGACGCCCGGTGGGGCTGGCGGCCATGCGAGCCCGGCCCGCGGGGGGCGCTCCGTAGGGCGCGGGTGGTCCTGCTCGGTTCGGCTCGGCCGCTGCCAGCCGGCGGCGCGACCCCCGGGCCAGCGCGGAGAGGCGCGGGCAGCCCAGCGCAGCGTACCCACCGCCGCCACGGGGCTGCGGAGCTGCCGGCGCGGCGAGGCGCGGCGCGGCGAGGAGCGCCCCGGGGACGCGGCCCGCGCGGCACCGCCGGTGCCCGGCGCTGCCGGCCGCCATGGGGTAAGCACCTCGCGGGGCCGCCGGGCTGCGGCGGGGCGGGGTGGGGTGGGGTGGGGGCGGGCGGAGAGGACAGCGGGTGCCGCTGCCGTCGGCGCCGAGCGAGGCTGCGGAGCGCCGTGCGGGGCTCTGTCCGCCGTAGCGCGCCGAGTGCCGGATCTGTCCCTGTTCGGCGCTGGCGGGCGATGTGGCGGGGAGGCTGCAGCGCGGCCGGGACTCGTTGTAGCTCTCCTGGAGTCTTCTGGGGATATGGAGCGTGTAAGGTGCCCACATGTGAGGAAGGCTCTCAAGAGACCTGCTTCACAGCGCGTCCCCCAAATACGTGGGGAAATCCACCCGAAATTTTAAGCAGATGGGAAGGAATAAATTCTTTGAGACAAAACTAGCTGCATCTAATCTAGGAGACATAAGAGTGGCATAGATACCTGTGGAAACTTTCCACGTTTGCAGTCTCGCATTTGTACAGAGAAATGATGAAATAATGCTTGCTTGCGGTGCTTGTCTGCTAACCTCTGGATAGAGTGGAAGCTCGTCCATGTTCCAAAGCAGCAGAAGCACGACGTGATTTGGGTAACTGCAAGGAGGCAGGCTTTTAATGCATCAGTAGGACACTGCTTTCCTGAGACTGCTGTATAGCTCAGGGTATAGGAGTTACAACTCGAGTCGTTTGTTTTTTGGTCATTCAGGAATTTGGATGTGAAATTAGCGTAGTGCAGTAACGTGGAGCTGCAGGTGCATCGCTCCTCCAGCTGTCAAAGGCACATGGAACTCTCCAATGTACGAACCTAACTGTGGTGGTGGTGGCAGCTGTTTCCCATCACACCGAGTCAGCAGGGAACGTTCACCGTGCAAGATGTAAAAATGAACGTCTCGTTAGTCATTAGCTTTTATTTTCCACTTAAAAAAAAGTCCGTGCAGAATAAACCCAAACTTGCAGCCATCTGCATCTTCAGGGAAGTGGTCATATGTTTTGAAAGCCTGGCAAAAGGCTGAATGGTAGTACACCGTTTGGGGGCTTTGTCCTTAAAGCTGCTGAACAGGCATAGAATTTTTCATGTTTTAAAATTCGAATAATGGAAAAGCACATTTATTTAAATCCAGTATTATTTGCAGATATGTTGTTTAGGTGTAGCTTACTGCAAATACTGGGAACTGTTGAGTAATAAGCATTGTTGTGCTGTTTTTCCTCTAACAGAGCTTTCTGAAAACAAATATTTGATTTAAAAAAAAAAAAAAGATTAAAAGCTCCCTCCATTTAATAAACTCAGTATTTATAATTTAATGGGTTTATTTATAATAAACCCAGACTGCTGCTGGTGTGTGAGTGCTGCAGTTTCTTAATGAGCAAACTGATATCTGTAGAGAGTGGTGAAAAGAGTGAATACTGAAAAACTATACAAAAATATTTGGAGAAATTATGCAAAGAAATTTTTGTGATGACTTCAGGGTGATATCTTAGCACTGAGGTCAAGACAGCAGAAGTTGTTGGCATGTGTTTTGAGGACCCTTCAGACGATACACATTGAGGTATGGCAACAGTGTTCCTTTGCAGACTCACTTTTAACAAGATGGAGATAACTAGAAATCTGAGTGTGTTATTGATGCCCCCCCTGCCATGCAAGTTTGGAGGAGCACATCTAAGCCTGTACCAAGCCTGTAGACCTGCAGTTATCTATTGGGCATTTGCTGATGTTCAGAGTCTTCTTTCAAACGCTGTTTTGAATTAGCATCTAAATGCAGTTCCCTATGGATTTGGGGCTATTTTGAGACCAACATGTACTAGAATCTTAACACTGCAGTTATCAAAATAGTCTTCTGATATTCTGCTAAGGTCTTAAAATCGAGCCCTTTAGAAGCAAGTTGGGAAATGGCTGATAATCATGCATCCGTGCATGTGAGGACTGCTTCAAAAGTAATGCCTCCTATTTTATTATGTTGAATCACAGGATCAAGGGCACATGTCAGTGGTATGACAGTAAAGCTTGAACCTTCCCACCAATGTCCCATTCCATGTTGTTGCTGTGTGATAGATGGCAGCATGAGGGGCACCCTGACAAAATGCCATCTGACATGGAAGTGTGAATGAAGTGAAGGTGTGGCACTGAATTCTTCCATCCACTTCTATCCAATTCTTCCAAAGATAGCATCCGCTGACATTCACAGGCGCTTGCTGGAAGTTTGTGGAGAGCAACCTTTGGATGTGAGTAGAGCGAGGCAGTGAGTGGTGTGTTTCGGCAGTGGCAATAGGGATGTGAAAGACAAGCCATGCTAGGGACGCCCCTGCACAGATGTCAGACCACGAAATGAAGAGCATCTTGATCTGCTGCTCTGTGCAAGTTGGCTAAAGTAGCAAAGATATACTCTATCAAATAGAGTTATTGTGCTCTTTCTATCTGTTGAGGTTTCCATGGGAATAAGTAGAATGCATTACTTTTTGATCAACCTTTGTATATTTGGTAGTTAATGGATGTTGCTGTAATGGCATGAGTTTGTATGGTGAATCTGTAGTGTCTGGATGGTGGAGAGTTTACTTTTATCTATGGTCTGGGCAAAGAGAAATTGGAACTGGACAGAAATAATTACTTAGCTAACCAGCAGTGCCTTTCTTAGTTTTATGTGTTGTTATGAAGAATTCCCTGTTCTGATAGAATAATTCACCTTGCATCGGTAGTTGAGCACCATCTGACAAATGAAGTAGCTGTTTGGTAAATATCTAGCTGTAGGTTGCTGGTCTCTGAAGCTGTTCTGCAGTGAAATACTTGAAGCTGCAGTGAGAACCTTGAAGCTTGAGAGCAGCTTATAGGGTGTAGCTATTCTTCTTGGTTCTTTGCCTCTGAAGTCTGTGTGTGTCTCTATTTACCCACAGGAGAAGGTAAATGAATCAAGCCCCAGGGGCAGTACACATGTGCTCTAGTTCCTCTACTTGCCACTCATTCCTCTTTTAATTTGTCCTTCCTTTTGCATAAGAAGTTTTGAGCAGTAGTCACTGTCAGTGCAGGCCTTTCTCTCAGATTGTCCCCACTGGATGACTGTTCTTCAATAAGAAAACCTTAACTTTTACATAAGTCAGAACTCAGTATGTTCTGTGCTAGTTCATAATGTCTCTTTTCTATTGCCAATACAAAAGTATCGAGCAATAAAAAAAAAAGATAGTACTGTACAGTTGGTCGTCTTCGAGCTGAGGTTTGGTTATTTTAAAAATTCCAAAGAAGTAGATAGTAAGTAAACATACTAAGAATGTGTATTGGTAGCCCAGATTAATGTGTACATAGCTGAGTTAAATTTTATTTTGAAAGCTGCAAATTATTACATTATTTTACTGGTTATTGGTACTGCCTTTACTTGAGCTGGTGGCGGGGGAATTAGAGCTTGATGCTCGTGGGCTGTGATGCCATCATTACTGAGTCTTAGTGGATACAGTTCATGCTAGAAGCAGTATGGAAGCCACAAAGCCATGGATTCTACCAAAATCAAGAATCTAATGTTCTGTAAAACCTAGTGTCTTGGATTAATTCCTAGTTTATCAATGTGTAGTTTCTCTGTAACAATTTTTCTTCATGGTCTTTTGTTCTGTGGACAAGTATCCAACTTCATTTTACTAGCTTTTCACTCATTCTGAATGGCAAGGAATTACAAGGTAGAAGTTTCTTTAGATCTTCTTGTTGCTGTCATGTCACATTAATCAAGGTGTCTTTATAAAGACTTCAGCTTCTCTTCACTTTGGACTATATTTAGTATGTTATCTTCCCAGAGATGGTTGTGGTATGTGTCAGTTTGAGATGGCAGAATTACAATACTGGAGTTCTTAAGCTGGCTAGAGAGTATTGTGGAAGATGAATATTTTAAGATGTACTTATTAACATTATCGTTGCCTGGAAATAAGTATTTCATTTTACTTCTTGTCAGTCAGTGGAAAATGGCAGTTGCTGGTTGGTCTGTTCTTGGTTCCCACCCTTGTTGAAGCATACAGGGTTGGTCAGATGCATGTCTTCAAGGCATTCAAGGTATAGGGTCCGAATCTGATGGGAATATTCTACAGCTGATTGTTCTACGCTCAAGCTTGTAATAACTCCTACGAAACCAGGTTGGAGCTTTAGAATCTAAAACTATATGAAAATCTACACAGCTTGAGCATGTGAGATAGACAAATATTGCTGTGGAAACTGGCTTTTGTTTGCTACCTGGTGACTTCTTGCTTTTTCAGGTGTTTCGTAGTGAATTCTTGACCTTAAACTTTTTGTTTTTCTTTCTTTAGCAATACAGCAATACAATGCTGTTAGGAACCAGAATCTTTGTTAGCGATTGGATTTGACCTCGCTTAAGTTCTTTGACCTTTTTCATTCTCACACAGATTAATGAAGCTCCCAAAGCTTCCTCTTAGCAACAGTTCCTTCAGCAGTACTCCTGACACAGAAATACTGCAAATAAGAGGGCGAAAAGGTGCAGCTTCTTCTTGGTAGTTTGGTGTTACTGTGATTCATGACCATTTTGCTATCTCAAGTGTAAAACAAGATGCTTCTTGTGGGAAAGCAGTGGCAGCAAGTAATTTATGCTCTCTTTTGTAACACTGTGTAGGGTGTAACAGAAACAGATACTCACATATAGTGATTGTCCTTTAAAAAAATTAGTACGGTATAAATACCTGGACAGATGGATATGTAAATCAGCACTGAATGGTTAATAAACCCTTCTGTCAGACAGTAATGCATAGAGACCTCAGTCCTGCCTAAATTATCTTCTGTCACAGTAGTTTTATGACTATAAAATAAGCATGAGAAGACTAAAACAGCTTTTCTGAATGGGCAATACGTAAACAAGTGTCCTGACTGCCATGGGGGATGTCTTCATGCTAATCAGTGAAGGGATTCGTAATACCTTATGGCTGCATTTGATCTGCTCCAGTATTGCCACGCATTGTATGGAGAGAATAGACCAGCTCGTGAGTGAAGTCCTAGTTCTGCTGAAAAACATGTAAATCCTTCTAATTCATTGTGTTGAGATTA